CATACCATCAGGTGAAGTCCATGTGTATAACCTGCGTTTGTGTCTCTTATAAAATGTATTTGCAATGAATAAGTCATTGATTTTACAAAATTCAATCCACACACAAAAAAGTAAGAAAGTAGATGGGCCAAAGTAACCAGAAACAATAGACGAAGAAACATAATAAAATGGCAATGCTAAAATCTGGCCTGTCAATAATAATACTTAATGTAAGTTATTTAAATGCACCAATAAAGAGAACAAGAATGGTGGAATAGAGGTAGGAAAACCACAACAAAACAGCCCATCAATATGTTGCTTACAAGAGACACATCTAACAAGTAAGGGAAAAAGACAAAGGCTGGAAAACTATATATCAAGCAATTGTCATCCACAAAAAAGCATGAATGGCAATATTAATCTCTGATTAGATAGCCCTAAAAATGAAACTGCTGTAAAAGATGAAGAAGGATACTATATAGTGAGTAATTGTACAATAGATGAAGAGGACCTGAATTTAGTCAACACCTATGTACCAAATTATAGACCTGCAAAATGCATGGAACCAGTATTAACAGAGTTGAAGAAAAAAGTAGATAGTACCACAATAGTAGTAGAAAACATTAATACCACTCTCAAAAAGAAAAGGTCAACTAAAAACTAAGCAAATTGCAGAAGAAATAAGATATAATTAGCCAACTCTACCTTATAGATGTATTCAGGATTCTTCATCCAACTAAAACTCAATTTACTTCTTCTCACATTTGCACATGGCACATTTTCCAAAATGTATCATATATTAGGATATAAACCAAGCCTCAAAAACATTGCACTAATACAAAAATGTTGAAATAATACAAAGTGTCTTCTTAGATAATCATGTCATAAAACTAGAAATTAACAAGAGCATAAAGGATGAAAAACCACCCATGTGAAAGCTAAATAACACACTCCTTGAGCTTTACTGGGGTACAGAAAAAAGAAAGCGTGAAATAAAAAAGTTCCTTGAAACAAATGAAAATGAAAATACATAATATAAAAACCTTTGATTTATAGCCTTCGGTATGGATAATACCTTAATATAGAAAAGAAAAATAATCCAAATCAGACCAATAGCAAAAATGTCATTGGATAAAAGATAAAAAATTGTCAACGTTTTAATTTTATTCAGGTCTACCATCAAGCTTGCTTACTAAAACTAAGGAGGACTTGAAGAATTTGCTTCAGAAGGTCAAGGACTGTAATCTTCCATATGTTTGAAGCACAACATAAAAACAACAACAAAAACAAAACAAAACAAAACCCCGAAGAGTCTCACCATTGGGCCATTTGGAAGCACCCTCATGAAGAGTGCTTATGATTGTTAACAATTTCATCTTGTTCATTTCCACAATCAATACTTTGCATCAGCCATCAGGAAATAAAAAAAAAAAAAACGGATTGGGGAAGATCTGTTGTCAGGGACCGCTACAAAGCACTGAAGAGCAAAGATGTCAGTCTAGAAACTAAGGTGCACCTACCTGCTCCAGGCCATGGTCTTTGCAATTACTTGCTATGCATCAGAGATCTGGACAATGACTAAGGATGACAGGAGAAGAATCTATGTTTTTGAGTTGAGCCTGCCAAGAATACAAACACATCTGCTTTGCACAGGGTGAAACCAAGTTGTCTCTTGGAAGCAAGGATTTTGAAACTCTGTCTCACATACTTTAGGCATGTTTCCAGGAGGGCCCAGTCCTTGGAAAAGGACATCACGCTTGCAAGGGTGGAGAGACAGTGAAGGAGGAAAAAAACCGGAATGAGATGACACAGTGAATGAGGTAAAGGGATTAGATGTTTCTGAGACAGTGAGACTGCCTCAGGATAGGGCAGGGTTCAGAGTTGTTGTACATAGGGTAGCTACGAGTTGCAGTTGACTCAACAGTAAACAACAACAACAACTAAAGTTAGCCTGCATATCTGCCAGTCTAAGCCCCAACAGAAGGGTTAGCCTTGAGCCCTAACTGCAGATTTGGGTACAGGTTGCAAGTGGCTGCATAGCACTGTGTAGTTGCTGCACAGAAGTAGGTGGCTGAGTCTCCAGGCTGGGAAGTCAAGATGTGCAAAGAAAAGAGTTTAGCAGTTTTATTGAAGAAGGCTATGAATCTTCCTTATTGATTTTTATTCCCAACTGAACGAATGTATATCAGAAGTACAGGGCCTTTACCAGGATATTGCTGGTACCATGGGAAATATTCAAAGGCATTATTCTCATAAGCACAGTTAAGCACTGAAGTTCTTCCTTCCTGGACAATCAGAGATTTAGGATTTTGCTTCACCTGCTGTTGGTCATTTTTCTCCTTCTGTTGGCCACTCACCCCTGTTTAGAAGAATAACAGAAAGCATTAGAACCCCAAATCTTATTTCCACCTTAAAATTTCTACCTGCATTAATTTTCTTTAGGGTCTAGTTTATATTTTTTAAGTTCCCTCAAATTAAACTATTCTGGTATTTCTTCACAACTCACAGATTAACTGAAGCAATAAAATGAATAATGATGCCTCCAGAAGCTTGTCCATTCTGCCTAGCACCAGAGCTCTGTAACAATCAGATGTTTTTCGGTTGGTCCCCACAGATAGGTTCTGCGCTTAACTTTAGGCTCACTTCCATTCTTTCAACAGGCTCCTCCCTTTCTCTAGTGCTTTCAACAACAAAATATTTCCTCAAATATGGCAATTTTGTCCAAAGTTGCAATTGCTACCAGCTCATTCATAGGGAATTAGAAATTCTTTAAGTATCTAAGATTTTGAATTTTTCTCCCCCAGTTACTCTCTACTTAACTTTTGTAGTATGTTTAAAACTGTAGACTAGGAAATTGAGTATATCAAAAAAAGATCAGATGCTTCAACATCACTTAATTTAAAATGATGGGAGAGGAAAGACTATCATGAATATGCATGATCATATTTCTTTTTTTAACACCATTTATTCTATTCGACATTTATTTGGAGCATACTATATCCATGGAGAAGGACATTGTGCTTGGAAGGATTGAAGGACAGAGCAGGAGATGAAGATCCTGGAAGAGATGGATTGGTACAGTTTCTGGGGTAGATGTGTTAGAGATAGTGATAGGGTAAGATTCAGTACTATCGTGAATTGGGTCTCTATAAGTCACAGTCAACTTGACAGCACATGATGACAACATTTGTGTAATATTCTCCAGCAAATTAGGGCCATGGAACAAAAGATACATCACTTAGACATAAAAAAGTATATATTATTTTTCTGTCCTTCTTGAGTGTGTGTGCTGTTGGGTAAAAGCTGACTGATAGCTGACCCTCCCTTGAGTTTTCAGAGATAGTAAAGTGCATGGGAGGAGACCGTCCTTCCTCCTGTGGAGCAGCTAGTGGATAAATTTTATTATCATTTTCATCTGTGCTCGTAATTTACATGACCTAAAAAATAATAGCAGATAATTTAATTTTTTGTATTCTAATATATAAATTAAATAACTTTATTACTTATAAGACTGTAGCTATATAATAGAAAGACAAGGAATTATTGAAACAACAAATACTATTTAGGGAACTATATATTTCTATGTAGATATGTGGGTAGAGAGATGATTCAACATATATTGAAGCAGAGTGGGAAATAATACTTTATCAATTAGATGCTTTTAAAGGATAATCTGTGACTCTGATGAATATGAATATATGAGACAAGCTTTACTCTCTTTGAAGCACCATTGCCTCTTTGTAGCCAAATAGGGAGATTGCACTCCTTAAAAGTTTGGGGTCAGAAATCTTCACATCGAGCAGTGCAATCTAATAAATGGTTGAGTCTTTTCTTGAATTACTGATTTCCTTGAAGAGATTTTGTCCTTGTTGAAGTTAGCCATGAAAACTTTGCTACTGTAAACTTAGTTGTTTCAAGAAGACCTAGAGGCCTGGGTTGTGATGCTACAAATATTAAGAGTTGTTGTTGTTGTTATGTGCCATTGAGTCGCTTGCGACTCATAGCCACCCTATGTATTACAGCCCTAAACTCTGCTCTATTCTGTGCCAATTGCACTACCTCTGACACACCCATCCCAATTACCCAGTCACTGAATCAGTCCACTCCTAGAGGGCCTTCCCCTCTTGCACTGTCCCTCCATCCTCCCAAACATGATGACCCTCTCCAAGGACATTTCCCTCCTTACAACATGTCCAAAGTATGTCATATGAAGCCCCAGAATCCTTGCCTCCAAGGAGCAGCCTGGTTTAACCGTCTCTAGGATGAATCTGTTTGTTTTCTTGGCAGTCCATGATACATTCAATACTCTTCTCCAGCACCACAACTCAAAGCATCAATTATCCTTTTATCCTCCCTAGTCATTGTCCAACTCTCTGATGCATAACAAGTGATTGCAAAGATCATGGCCTATATCAGATGCACCTTAGTCTCCAGAGTGACACCATTGCTCTTCAGTACTTTTGCGAGGTCCCTAACAGCAGACTATCCCATCACAATACATCTTTTAATTTCCTGGCTACTGGTGCCAAGAGTGTTGATTGTGGAGCCAAGCAAACTAAAGCTGTGAATGATCTCAATCTCTTCACCATCCATCCTGATGCTGCCAATTGGTCCAGTGGTGAGCTATATTAAGAGTAAGCAGGCCTTTTGTACTATGCAGTGTAGTATCTGAATGGCCTTGGAGTATCAACAGGCACAGACATGGGCCCTTTAAACTGAATTCCTATTTGAACTTTCTTCTCACAATACTGATGAGATTTCAGCACATTGAAGAGAGTAACATCTTTGCCAAACGTGTTATGGTCAGATTTTTTTTTATTTTATGGATATGTATGGGTATCTAGTTGTGGTATTAAACTTTCACATTTCTAATGATTTTTATGTAGAAAGAAGTCAATCACTTTCCTCATTAAATATAAAGTATTCTCTCATTTCTGCAGATTCTTTGGTCTCAATTCTGACATTGCAACATGGAAACCAATGTTAAGATATAAACAAATGAATATAACAGTATTTCAAGGAAACTTTATTTATAAAAAGTATAGCAATATGGATTTGGGTCATTAGGCATATTTTGCTGATTCCTGATATAAAGCTTTTCCTTATGTCCTTATTTAGTCATATATCTTCTTCTTTTGTGGAAAAAGTTATTCAACTTTGCATTTATTTTAATTGAATCACCTGACTAAGTTGTAAGAATTATTTACACATGATACATACAATTCCTTTGAACAATAAGTTTCCAAAGTTGTCATATAGTTAGCGCCTTGTCTTTTTGTTTTATTGAATATATCCAAGACTTTTGCACTAAAATATGCAAAACATAACTGACAAAGAACTGTAAAAGCTTAATCTGCTGTCAGGGACCCCTTAAGAGTATTGAGAACTAACGATGTCAGTCCATGGTTTTCACAGTTACTTGCTATGCATCAGAGAGCTGGACAGAAGAAGAATTGATGTATTTGAGTTGTGATACTGAAGAAGAGTAGGTCTAGTTTGGAGAGGATGAAACCAAGTTTCTTCTTGAAGGTTAGGATTTTGAAGCTCTGTCTTATATTTTGGGTACATGGCCAAGAAGGACCAATCCTGAGGAGTACAACATGCTCAAAAGGGTGGAGAGACAGCATATAAGAGGAAGATCCTGGGTGAAATGGATTGATTAGTAACTGGGGTAATGTGGGTAGGTATGTAGGAGGACTGGCTCAGGACAGGGTAGGTTTCAGAGCTGATGTACGTAGGGTCACTATGAGTCACAGGCAACTTGATAGCACACAACAACATAACAACAATAATCAATGAAAAGATTTTCCATATTAATTTTAAAACATTGTTTCACTCTCAACTTGGTTTCACCCTCTTCTAGAGAAGAGTGTTTAATATACCATGGATGACCAGGAAAAGAAACAATTTCGTCTTAGAGAGGATGAAAGCAGGATGCTCCTTGGAGGCAAGGATTCTGAAGCTTCATCTGACATACTTTGGACATATTGCAAGGAAGGACGAGTCCTTGGATAGGGACATCATGCTTGGAAGAGTGGATGACCAGCATAAGTGAGGTAGATCTTCAATGAGATGAATTGATTCAGTGACTGGGATAATGAGGGTAGGTGTCTCAGAGGAAATAAGATTGGCACAGGATAGAGCAGGGTTTAGGGATCTTGTACAAAGGGTCACTATGAGTCACAAACGACTTGATGTCACATAACAACAGCAACAAACAACAATTAATGTAATACACTATTAAGCACGACTTTCTCTGTAATACTTAAATACAAAGAGTAAATAACAAAAACCATAAATTTAAGATAAAATGTAGCAATTTCACAATTTTTCCAAAGCTAATTTAATGTGTTTTGTGTTCTATGTTCTTTGTTGACACCACAGTTCAAAGGAATCAATTCTTCTTTAATTTTCCTTATTGTTCAATTTGCTTTCATATGCACAGGAAGAAATGGGAAAATATGCTGAATACATTATGAACTGCCAAAGGAACAACAACAACATTTTCTTTTTATGAAAGAAGTGCAGCCAGTATGTTCCTTGAAGGCAAGTATAGTGATACTTCTATTATACTTCGGGCATGTTATCAGAAAGGGATTAGTCCCCAGTGAAAAATATGTGCTTAATAAAATATCACTCACTCTTTGCAGTTGAGTCAGAACTGGCTTTTAACTAACCCACTAGCAAAATTTCCTAGACTCTAAGTCACATGAGAGGAGACTGCTCATCTTTCTTCCCAGGAGTGGCTGGTGGATTTGAACTGCTGAGAGGTACAACCTTTGGGTTAGCAGAGCAACTCCCTCCAGACCAACCCACCAGAGCTTCCTTAGTAAAGGATATGGTTGCCATCAAGCTGAATATGACTCATAGTGACCCTATGAACAAAAGAATGAACCTCAAATAGATGGTTTTAAGTAGTAGCTGCCACAATGGAGACATGCACAGTAATGATTGTGAGGATGTCCGCAGGCAGTGTTTTGTTTTGTTCTGTTGTGCAGTAACTAGGAGTTGAGATCAACTTTACAACACCTAGCTGCAACAAATTTAGACTGACTCTTTGTGATAAATATTTCCTGAAAACTAGAGCATTTTAGTCTTAGTCAAACAGAAAACATAAAGTTTATAAAGAATAAGAAAAGACATTCAGATGGCCAACAAGCACATGAAGAAATGTTCAAAGTCCCTAGCTCTAAGAGAGATGCAAGACAACTATAGGATACCATCTCACCCTAGTAAGAATAGCAAAATATAACAGAACAGCAAGCAACAAATGCTGGCGAGGATGTGGAGAAACTGGAACTCTTATTCATTGTTGGTGGGAATGTAAGATGATGCAACCATTGTGGAAGGCAGTATGGCGCTTTCTCAAAAAATTGCAGATAGAGATGCCATTTGACCCAGCAATCCCATTACTGGGAATATACCCCAGAGAGACCATGTCTGCCATCCAAGCAGATGTATGCACACCCATGTTTATCACAGCTTTGTTTACAATAGCAAGAGTTGGAAGCAACCTAAGGGCCCATCAACAAGCGAATGGATAGAGAAGCTGTGGCAT